CGACATCCGTGGCCGGAGTTTTTTTCCAAAAGCTTCTGGCGCGCGATCAAGGCATGGCGAGTAGCAAACTCGCGCCCGCACGGGGCGCCCTCGGCATCCAGCAGTTCGCAGCGCCAGATATCCGTCGGCGGCGGGGGCACCCCGTCGGCAGCAGCAGGAGGCCGCCAGCCAGGCGGCGGCGGGGTCGCCACCGTGCGCGCCTGTGCCCGCGGCAACCCAGGGTCCAGCATCAGGTAGCGCCGGTCCTCGCTGGCGAACTGCTCGACGACGTTGAGCACGCCGCCAAGCGTCCGCAGGTCCTCGCGCAGCTCGCTCGCCTCGGCAACCTCGGGCAACGCCTCGACGTCGGCGACGAACCTCAGCGCGCACGGGTCGGCGTCGGCAGCGACGGAGCCGTCGGCGCCAAGCGTCGGTGTCCGTTCCAGCGGCAGCTCTCCAAGTGCCGCGGCGGGCCCCTGCGGATGTTGGTTGTGGGACCGAAGCCAGCGTTGGTACTGACGTAGTCGACGAACCCGAAGCTTTGTTGATGTCGGGGCTACGCCAAGCCTCCTCAAGACAGCCTCGCCAGTCATGGCCTAGTACTTATCATCGAACTTCGGGCAGCCATCATCATCGAGGAGCGGAATCTTCTGGCACGCCGCGCCAGCCAGCAAGCGTCGACCAAGGCTCGACAGTACCTTGTCCAGTTGCTGGCACTGCGACGCGCTAAGCACGAGAACGCTCAGCCCGCTGGGCGCCGCCTCCTGCACCACGGAGCCGGACGCGATCCGCATCGAGCGCCAGATGTGATTCCGTGCCCATGAGCGCCCCATGCTATAGCATCCCACGGGCATTAACAGCCTTCGCTGGAGCTCCGCCTGCGCGCTGCCCGTAATGGAGGCCTGGATGCCGAGGGCAACGTCGTCGCGCTGCGCGACGCCCGCGAGGGCCTCCGCCCCACTGAAGAGCTGGCGCGCCTCGCGCTGGGAGCCGCGGCCCAGGAAGCAAGGCGAGACCGAGCTCTTGGACGGGTTGCGCGCGTTAGGGCTCCAGGGCGCGCCGCAGCTCGCAGCGCGAATGCCTCGAGACGAAGCCCGTGTTCCTGGCCGAAACCACCGCGCCCGCGCGACTGGTGTCGCCCGTGTAGATCCGAGTGCCCAACGGCGCAGCAGCTTCCAGAAGTGGGCACCACGCGGCGCAGAGCATCTCGCTCAGCCAGGTCGCGGCGTTGATGTCTGCGCGAGGAGTTGGAGGTAGAAGAGGTTGGCGCTGCCACTCCTGGCAGGTGGTCGGGGGGTCGGGCAGGTCGTAGGTGGCCCAGGCGGCAGCGCACAGTCGCTGTAGCCACTCGGCGATGGGTTCGCGGAAGGTCCGCGCAAAGATGAGCGCTGCTGGGGTGCCCCCCATGAAAGCGCCGCAGCGGTTGTGGAGATCCTGGTCGCCGTCGGCTTCGACGGCGCGGAAGGTACTGAGCTCGTGCCGCTGGTGGAAGTAGTCCTGCTCCTCTGGGCGCACTGCGGCCTCGACCGTCTGGCGCAGGGCTGACAGCGTGGAGGAGCCGAAGGCGTTGCTCATGTCTTCCTTCGCGGCGAGGGTAGAGATGCCCAGCCGACGGAGACGCCCGAGAAGTCACTCCTGGCAAAGAAGTGCGCCTTCCCGATTGCGACCTCGCTGGCATCCGTGTTCTCGTGGCGGTGGAACGTCCCGTGGCGCGCGTTGGAGTTGAGGTTTGCACCGGGCAGTGCCGACGCTGCATGGGGCGTGGACGAAGCGCTTGGAGTTGAACTCGGCATTCCCACTGTTCTTGTCGAGGCCCGTGGTGGCCGAGTGGTGCCGGATCAGCGGGGCGCGCTTGACCTCCTGATGTGGGAGAGGATGGTCTTCAGAGCGTGCTCGGTGACGGGCGTGTCGATCTCGTAAACGTCGAGGCCGAGTCCGCGGCGATCGCCGGCAAGACGGCGGCGAGGTCGCAGCTCCGCTCGAGCTCTGGGGGCCGCGCACCTGGGGGCGCGAGTCGAGCCGCGCGGCCCCTAGTCGCCCGCGCGCCGCGCGCGCGCGGCCCCAGGCAGTCTAGCCTCGGACGAACCGGCAACTGGCCGCCAGAGGCGGGCGCGCGCGCGAGCGCCCGCGCCTGATGAGGGTGAGGGCGAGGCAACTGGCTGCCAGTGAGGGTGAGGGTGAGGGCGGGGGTGAGGTTCGTCATCCTCCTCATCTTCGTCACCAGGACGCCGCGGGCGTCGTCGCCTGCATCTGCCATCATATCGACGCCAGGGCTCGAGGGCGAGCCGAAGAACTTCAGTTTGAACTCTGTGAGGTGCCGCAGCTCGACGTCGTGAGGACTTCGAAAGGACCTCGACCAGCTTCTCGACGTCCTCGCGCCCGAGGTCGAGGTGGTCGTACACGTGCATCGGAGCACGGGGGACGGGGGAGCGCGTCCAAGTACTGCTGGCGGCACGTCTCGAACTCGATCGGGATCGTGTCGAGGCCTCTATCGGCGCCAGCCTGTCCGAAGTGCCGCACGTTGTGGCGTCGTCGGCGTGGCCCCTTGCATTGGGCCGCGAGCTGGTGGCCGAGGCGCCAGACCTCGGCGAACTGCCGCTTCTGCCTCGTGCATGTCGTCCACGAGGAGCTGCGCCTCGCTGTCGAGACGAACTCGACGATGCGCGCAGAACTGGCGCGACGCCCTCGCGAGGGCAAAGGCCATGTCAGTGGGATCGCGGAGGCGGAGGCGGAGGAGGGGCCCACCCTGGGCCCAGGAGCGGTGCAGTGCATCCTCACCACTTCTGTGACCAGGACCGGCCCAGCCAGGACCAGCGAGGCGCGTGCAGTGGAGGGCAAGCCACAAGAAACCCCCCACAGGAAACCCAACCCTGAGACCCCAGGACGTCCATCGATTTTTGGTGTGGGAACTTCACGCCCTCCACAGACGAAACCCTCGAAACCCAGGAGGCCTTGGGCACCCTGGAGGCAAGCAGGGTGTTTTTTTGGCATGGGCCCCCACTGTAGTTGACGTCCCACGACCTTTTGCCTGGTCTGATCAATCACCAGTTACCGCAAAGAGCGACAAGCCTCGTGCCACCCAGCATCAGGTCGGGCATGCCCCCCTACAGGCGGATTTGGACGAAA